TACAGTACATATATAGATATATATATATATATATATATATATATATTCAAGATTCTTTGATGAAGAGAAAGGTAAAAAATAAAATAAGTAGTAAATGTCAGTGTAAAAATAAAATGTTGCATTGAAAGTGAAGCTGTAATTATAATCTGAACAGCTGTGAAAAAAAATGGCATAAGATAAACTGAATCTCTATATCACAGATTTTTGCACCGCCATCTCACACAGAGACACAGTTTTAATGCATGGCCTCAATATTTATGCATTATCTCTTGTCACGACTTTCAGTTTTCAATTACATGTGCAAAACATAATATTGCAAAATATAATTACAACTTAAAATAACTGTTTTCTATTTTATATATTTTATTTATTCATGTGATGGCAAAGTTGGAAATAAATCAATAAAAAAAATCATGTTTTTTCATTGTGCATTCCAATGAATCTCAAACAAACTGCAGTAGGGTTATTTTGATTAGGTAAAAAATAACTAAAAAATACAGCTAACTAACACAATAAAAAAACATGATAACATAATAAATAAAAACATGATTTTTGAAGTTATCTGTTTTTGCAAATAAACTCTTCATATATATATATATATATATATATATACAAGATTCTTTGATGAAGAGAAAGGTAAAAAATAAAATAAGTAGTAAATGTCAGTGTAAAAATAAAATGTTGCATTGAAAGTGAAGCTGTAATTATAATCTGAACAGCTGTGAAAAAAAATGGCATAAGATAAACTGAATCTCTATATCACAGATTTTTGCACCGCCATCTCACACAGAGACACAGTTTTAATGCATGGCCTCAATATTTATGCATTATCTCTTGTCACGACTTTCAGTTTTCAATTACATGTGTCTGTTTAAAAGATGCAGATAAGATTTGCATTAGACACATGAGGGCAATTTTGCAACCTGGAATGGTATTCAAATATAATACTCTAAAAAAATATAGTAACTAATAAAATGGATTTGCACTGCAGTTGATTATAGAGTGTGATGGTGTGAATTTCAGATTGACTTTCCCAGACTGTGAACTCACCAGCTTTGGTGCTGAGGAGGAATATAAAAACATCTTTGGAGCTGAAGTTTTTGATAGCTAGGTTACGTTCCTCTCCCCGGACTGAACCATCCAGACGCTCATAACTGTAACCTGCAGAGAAGTAGGAGGGCCCAATCAGAGCTGGCAGTTACACAGACGGTAGCACATTAACGCACATACTGCAACAAACACAGGATGTGATACTGAACCCACATCAACTGCTCTAGATCATTGGACTAGATTACTAGGAGAGCATGTAAGGTACGGTTACATAAATGTTCCAAATTGAGAACAAACAAACATATGTTTAAGAATACAAAACTAATAAAATGTCTTTTTAAAATGAAAGTCTTGGGTGGTAACACTAAGTGATTCGTGCTTTCACCTTCATTTCATCATTTAAAGTCTGTGTTGACATTTTTCTGGCTTGATTCCATTAAGATAAGAAAAGTAAGCTCTTTGGTGATCTGTCATGCACATCACCAGACCACAGTTTATAAGAAAAGGCGAAGGCTCTGACACAGTCAAAGTGTGTCTTAGTACCTCTGTACTCCAAGTAATCTTGCAGAATATCCAGCATCCTGGTCATTTGAGAAAACAGAAGAACACGATGGCCTCTGCAAACAGAGACAAAAACATCTATTTTATATCTCCAAATCAGTAAAATGCATTTAAAGCTACACTACGTAACATTTGGCCCTCTAGCCATTAACATATAAAACTGCAAATGTCTCGGGGAAGAACATTGCTTGGGTTGTGCTTTGGCTCTGTTTCTGTGCACGGATAAATGTGGTTCGAGGCACTGGTGTGAAACTCCTTACAACTGGACTTTTATCTGTGTACGGATATATGACATGACATATATGTGACCCTGGACCACAAAACCAGTAATAAGTGTCAATTTTCTGAAATTGAGATTTATACATCACATGAAAGCTGAATAAATAAGCTTTCCATTGATGTATTGTTTGTTAGGATATGACAATATTTGGCCGAGATACAACTATTTGAAAATCTGGAATCTGAGGGTGCAAAAAAAAAAAAAAATCAAAATACCGAGAAAATCGCCTTTAAAGTTGCCCAAATGAAGTTCTTAGCAATGTATATTACTAATCAAAATTTATGTTTTGATATATTTACAGTAGGAAATTTACAAAATATCTTCATGGAACATGATCTTTACTTAATATCC